TAGTGACAATCGAGTGAAAATGGGTACTTCGGGCTACAACGCATGCGTCGACTGGATATATAAATATCTCATCCAACCATGCAGCTGAAACCTGTTCGTCGTGTTTAATTACGTCACAATTCTACTCAAACCACCTCCGTCGTCAGGACTGACAAAACTGTGACAGGACTGAATTCCGCGTCACTCGATTGCAATTCTGTCAATTCAGGACGTTCCGGACTGTGAATCGAGCATCCCCATAAAGAACTCTACAAACCATACTATTGGTAAATTATACCCTCTCTAACCCCACTATACTGACATGATATGATGGTGGATGTTCAGTCAACACTGCAATCGAACTGGGGACCTCATGGTTAGCAAGTCAGCGCCTTATTCACTGAGCGATCATGGCTCCATATTGCAGTCAATATTCCCCCTTAAACTGCAAACAAGTCATCAAGGATGATCAGTCGTTTAGTGTGCAAGCGTCTTACCCGTTGAGCCACAAGGACTCCACATTAAAGTGAATTTAAACATTCCTCATTAATTAAAGAACTTTACAAACCCTACTACTGGTAAATTATAACCTATCCTAAACCACACCTTGATATGATATGTAAATCAGTAAATTAAGTAAATTATAACCTCCACACTACTAATATGATATATAGTGATGATATACAGTCATTTAAATAATTAAGATAATGATTATAACACACACAGTAAAGAGTTTAGCTCTTATGGCTAGTGGTTATAATCAATTATATTTTACCATAAAGTTTTGGCAGATTCTTTTAAAGAGAGAAACAGAGATAAGGAGATCGTAGGCTCGCCTTGCCTGCCTAACTGGGTTCTTCAGTTTCGTCTCACAAAAGATGCCCAGTCTTAGCAGATTCTTTTAAAGAGTGAAACAGAGACAAGGAGTAAACTTGCCTGCCTACCCCGGTTCTTCAGTTTCCTCCCACAAAAGATGCCCATGCATTAGCAAACTTGTTAATCACAGTAGTAGTGTAACCATCAGGATGTTGCCTACATTTTTTAAGGTGGGGGAGTGGGGGGGTGTCAGTTTAATGTAATTCTGCAACAGGAACCAATTATGTTTCAAACACAGCCATAGTACAATTGGAGAGCATGTCCATTAAAGGAGCTAAATCGCTAATATTTGGGACCTAGAAATTGACACAAATGGGTCGCAATCCATATGAATGTATATAAACTGATTTACATTCAATTGTTCCATTTTACTCATGAATCTAATCAGTTATGTACGTCGAAGTGAGTTAGAAGTCCCAATCGAATGGTAATCTCTAGCATCTGGTTATTCCAGTCTACATCGATAGTATTTATTGTGCATGCTCTGTAGATAAGAATATGACGTCACCATTTGATATGACTTGTTGAATGGTGCCATAATGTTACACGTTTTGTGCACCAATGGTAAAATGTTTATTTTCTCTTAAATATTGGATATCAGAAGTCCATCTTTTCCCGGTAAGATCACAACATCCATGTTGATTTAAATTGACAAATAATTGGTGTTTTCAATGTCACAAGTCTTTAGATGATATTAAGTTAGAGACTTAGCTACTTTAATTACAGTAACCAACTGAATGTCTGTAAACTAAGATATAGTAAATGGTAGTTAGGTAATTGAATTAGTAAATCTATCAAGTCATGTGATACAGGGTATATATGTCAGGCTTAGTGCCAGGTTTATAATAATTAGGTGAAACACATTTATATATAACACACACCCATTCATTTATAACACGTCTTCATTTATTACATTCCACTCATTTAACAAAATCTACCAGTGTTATATACCGTTTAGACGCTTATTTTTAAACCAGTTCAAAATCGCCAGGGTTTTAAGGACAGGATCCTATTTCGTTTCGTTTTTGTTTATAGTTCAAAATTTCATTTTACTTGTCTTTACTACACTAGGATCTGGAAGAGTTGTTATCACTGATGTGTTCTGGATGGTGTGAGGGATTAGCCAATGAAACGGTCTGTTACGGTGAGCTTTAGGTGCATTTTGCATGGAACTGTGGGTAATCCACTAGAAACATCAATACTGATTTGGGTAATCAAATGTGACGCGACCTATCGCTACAACTTGTCAGATCTTCATGTATGGAGGCCATCGAAAGTATAAAAACAACAAAACAAAGTATAGATCTGTATTTTAAAAAGATTGAGTGTAGTATAGATAAAGCTATTATACGAATCCCTTCAATTGCCTTCATGTATTGAACCTTTAGATGGTTTTATGTATTTATTGTGTAGTGGTCAGAGATGAAGAATTCTGATAAGAGACCAGTAAATGGTACATATGGTGATTTGAGATACCATCATTTCAATTAACTGGCACAGCCAACTGACCCAGACTCTTCTGTGTTAAATATATTCTGGGTAGCAGAACTGGTTTATTTTCTAACTTATAAATACTAACATAGTTCTGGCTTACAAGGAACCTCATTATGGTGCCTCATCCAAGTTCAGTAACAAGAGAGAGAGAGAAATGGGGTTTAACATCTTTTTCGATAGAAACTAGGTCATTTCGGAATTAACATATTGTGCCTCATGACAGTTCAGTAACAAGAGAGAGAGAGAAATGGGGTTTAACATATTTTTCGATAGAAACTAGGTCATTTCGGAACTAACATATTGTGCCTCATGACAGTTCAGTAACAAGAGGGAGAGAAAAATGGTGTTTAACGTCTTTTTCGACAGAAACTAGTCATTTCAGAACTAAAATATGGTTTAATTTTTTATTTCATTAATTCGCTTAGGCATAGTGGTCTTTAGCAGTGGGAGGAAAGCGGAGGACCAGGAGAAAAACAACGAGGGAAATGAAACTTACAAGCAGGGAAATGAAACCATGCCACTTGACTCTATGACAGACCTTATGATGCAACACGCACACGATCACCATTCAGCCACCCAAACCCTCTTTCAGGGAGTAAGATGCTGGCAGGCTAGCCTGGAGGTCTCGGGTTCGCTACGGGTGTTGGGCGAGAAAGTTCTTTAGGATTTTTCTACATGGTTCCCCCTGGTCAGAGGTGCAGGACGGCGGGCTTGGCAACGGACAATGATTAATCATTTTGATGGGACAAAACAAACCAGAGGTCCCATGTACACATTGGTGTGCACGTAAAAAAGAGCCCTTGACAGTTGGAATTCAATATACATGTAAGTGTATACATGTATGCCAGAGAGCTGTTGTCCCGGCAAAATTTCCCTCATAGCATAGGCTACTTTGTGGCATATGCCCGTCTTGGAATCTTCATTAGCCCAGTCGGCGCAGAACAGTAGGACGTTTAACCCTCATTTCATTTCGTATGCGGGAAGGCATCTTTAATACTTTATTCACAAGCGAAAATCACACAAAAGGAGAGAGAGAGAAATGGGGTTTAACGTCCACTCAACACAAACTAGGTCATTTCGGGACTAACATATGGTTTAATTTTATTTCAATAATTCGCTTGCACGTAGGGGTTTTTAGCAGTGGGAGGAAACCGAAGGACCCAGAGAAAACCCACGAGGTTGGACAGGCAACCCTACTCCTTGTCTCGTACAACCGGGGATTCGAAACCACGCCAGTTGACTCAATGACAGGCCTTATGATACAACGCACATGCAAACCATTCGGCCATCCAACCCCCCTCACACAAAAGGAGTCCCATACAACTTACATGTGAATTATGTAGAAACATGTATGATAACCATAAATATTTGTACTTCATGATTCCTTCAATGATAACCTTCAAAATGGTTCATATTTGACAGATATTTTTAGACAGTTTACACAAAACATAAAGAAAAGACTTTATTATGAACCATGTGTAAGGATAATATCCCCACATTGAGTGCTCGGTCACGATAAGCCAACCATTCAGTTGAATAGAGAAACATGTGTGTCTCCGATTCATGGATTCGTTGAAACATGAAGGTGAAATCTATTTATAGACCTTTTCTTCTCTATATCCACAGTTAATTCTATAACTACATGATTGTTTAATGTATTTCGACAATACATAAACCACATTCCATACTAATATAGATTGTTTGAATATTTACTCAAGTCGGGTTTCCGAAAGCTCAACACAATATTATTGGACCAGGGGGTGGAATGAAATGGGGTTTAAGGCAAGAAAGCTCAACACAATATTAATGGAGGGGGGGGGGAGGATGAATGAAATGGGGTTTAAGGTAAGAAAGCTCAACACAATATTAATGGGGGGGGGGGAATGAAATGGGGTTTAAGGCAAGAAAGCTCAACACAATATTAATAGAGGGAGGGGGGATGAAGTTTAAGGTAAGAAAACTCAACACAATATTAATGGAGGGGGGGGGGGGAGAAGGAGGAATGAAATGGGGTTTAAGGTAAGAAAGCTCAACACAATATTAATGGAAGGGTGGGTTTGGGGGTGGGGGGAATGAAATGGGGTTTAAGGTAAGAAAGCTCAACACAATATTAATCAATAGAGGGGAAGGGGGGGGATGAAATAGGGTTTAAGGTAAGAAAGCTCAAGAGAGGGGAAGGGGGGAGGGATCAAATAGGGTTTAAGGTAAGAAAGTTCAACATAATATTAATTGGGGAGGGGGGGGGGGGAATGAAATAGGTTTAAGGTAAGAAAGCTCAACATAATACTAATCAGGGGTGGGGAGAGAGAAATGGGGTTTAACTTCCACTCGACACAAACTAGGTCATTTCGGGACTAACATATGGTTCAATATTATTTCAATAATTCGCTTGCACGTAGGGGTCTTTAGCAGTGGGAAGGTACCGGAGGCCCCAGAGAAAACCCACGGGGTTGGACACGTACAACCGGTGAATTGAAACCATGCCAGTTGACTCAATGACAGACCTTATGATACAGCGCGCACATGCTAACCATTCGGCCACTTGATATGTTCAAGTTTCAACTGATTTTCTATGCTAGGAAGAATTTAGCCTCTGCGGTGACATGATTATCAAACATTCTTTTTAAAAATTTAAATTTAAACTGACTTACCTACAAAATCCCAAATAGAAACTTCTTCTATGCATTCATGTATAAAATATAGATTACCCAGAGCCTGGAAAAAAAAATCATATTATTTAGTCTATAAACAGGCTGTTCGATCACTACGTCGGCCGAGAATATTCATCAAGATTTTCCATAGTGGTTCCCCCATGTCAGTGTTGCAGGATAAAGGGAGTGGCAAGCGACAACGTAATGTCTTTCGGATGGGACGAGACCTGTGTACACATTGATGTGCACATAAAAAATCCCTTGGCAGTTGGAATTTGATATAATAGTAGGCTGAAGCGCCGCTGTTCTGCCAAAATTTCTCTCATAGCACACTGTATGGCATATGCCGGTCTTCATTAGCCCAGTCTGAGCAGAACTCCATTTTATTTCATTTCTATAAGCAAGCTATGGGGTTAGGCGGCTGAATGATCCTACATGTAAGTATGTGCTTTAAATCATCAGGTCTGTCAATGAGTCGAGTGACGTGGTTTGTGAATGTTTTGTGAACTCGACACCAGCAGAGATGGGTGCATGGACTCACCCGAGTTTAGTCGCTGCATTGTGTTAATGTTATTGTTTATATGTCTAACTCATGTTCCTGTTTTATTTTTGTTCCTGTTTTATATTCTTGTTCCTGATGTAAATAAATTTTATATTTACAAAACTGATATTCTGTTATCACTAATAGTGTTACAGTTATAACCTGGAAATTTATCGTCACAACAGCGTGAAGTTATTAACGACGATCACGGACCAATGATTGGAGATAAAAATTTTGATGATATAGAAATTCATAATTGAATAATGGAAATGGAGAATGAAACGGGAAATCAACAAAAACTGCAAAAGACTAAAGCACAATGGCAACAGAACAGCAGGGAATGTAAAATGTGTGTGATTGTTGTTTTACGGTGACTTATGTTGTTTTTAAAAGAATGTAAATTAAAACTGTTTATTTTTGAACACATATTTTGGCTTTTAAAATTAGTAGTAAATAAAAAGGGAAATGGATTTACACATGCTCTGGCTTGTTTTCAGATCCCATAATTAAATATTGTATCGTTATAATGTGTAAATATTAACTGAATATTGTTAGAAAAAAAAAATATAATTAAGAGGTTTATGTTGAAAAGTAAAATATTTTGTGATTGGTTGGCTGAGATTGAGTTCTTTACCATCAGGCATTGAGTAATTGTATTTGTATCATTAATGCAACGGACAATCTCACCTCGGTCCACAAAACAGAGACAAATACTACACGTAGTCGCCTCGTACTTCCGATTTCCAAGGCATAGTCCAAACCTTGACTCTCATATAAATAAACCTTTTGGTATTAATTCGTACCTACATCCCTAGGGCGCCATGTTGAATTACACAGTATTTAACATTTTAAAATCTAACTACTTTATGGAATCAACGACAAATGTCAACTTGGACACCCCAACCATTTTTATTTTTATTTGTATCATTAACTTGATAAAGATTAGAGTATCCTCTTCAAAATAAAACCAGCTTAGGTTCTTATAGATGTTGACATTTCATTATACTGGTTTCTTCTTATTCATAAATTAGGCTGACCTTAAAAATATCTTTGTTTCGCCTAACGCGACCGACTAACTAAAACCACCCCCGACTTAAATTATTTTATTGCACTTTTCCGCGATCTTTTTATTTTATTTTGTGTGTCAACCTGAAATATATCACGAGAGTTATTTCCCTTTACTATGGCTATGGTTTGATTCATTATTGAAACTGGTTGATCAAGACGAAAGCGTCATAGGTGTCGCTTCTCAACAAAATGGTTGCAGACGAAAGCACGTCCATTCCCACGAAATGATTCTGCCTCTATGTCTGTGGGGCGTCGTTTTAAACATGACGACGATATTTTCAATATCCGTTTTCGAGAAAAATAAAGGCACAACCCGCACGATCGTTAAAAACGTGTTGAGGCAGTTTCAAACGTGAGTTTGTCGCAATTTGTGTGCGAGTCGTGCATCAAGAAAAATCCCGATGTCATTGATTTGTTTGCCAATAAAAGAAGACGAATGTTTGCACCCGGAAAATTATCAAGCTGTCAAATTAGCTCTTAAAAAAAAAAATCTGAAAAAAAACCCCGACCTACCGACCCTTCTCCTCGATTGTGGGTCGGGTTTGGTGAAACAAAGATATTTTTAAAGTCAGCCTTATAAATTATAACACTTGATACAGCTAATTATAGAACTTTATGTAGATACAGTAAATAGAGAGAGAGAGAGTTTAACATCCACTCCACACAAACTAGGTCATTTCTTGACTAACACATGGTTCTATTTTATTTCAATAATTCGCGTGCATGTAGGGGTCTTTAGCAATGGGAGGAAACCGGAGGACCAGAAGAAAACCCATGAGGTTGAATAGGTGACCCTACTCCTTGTCACGTACAACCGGGGAATCGAAACCACGGCAGTTGACTCAATGACAGATCTTATGATACAGCGCACACACGCTAACTATTCAGCCCCCCACCCGCCCTGCTCTTTTTCTTATAACAATAAACCATTTATGTGCATAAAAATGGTGATTTCAAATAATTATTAATGGTATTAAATATGTAATTTAAATAGTTATTTCAAATAAGTATTAATAGTTTCGTCTTATTCATAGATTATAAACACTTGATTCAGATAATTATAGAACTTTATGTAAATACCGTAAATAACAATTATTACAGACAATATCCAGAACAACATAAATAATAACTACAAAAGTATAAAATCAAGAGTATATATTATGTTCACAATAATTCATAGCAATATTTTGGAATAAAATAACGTAACAAAATAATTAATTAAACCCTTGTACTGTCACGTCTCACGGATATTAATAAATCAGAATCTTTTTTAAAATCTTAACTTAGATATTTATTTGAAAGACATTATTCGGATCTAAATGTTGCCCAAAAAATTGAGCAGCTAAATCCCTTGATGGTGACTTATTTGAAACATCTTTCGTTTGCTTCTGCTGTTGGTGTTTTGTCTCTCGTAATAACTTATTTCGTTGTAACTGACTGGATGGTTTTTGTTTAGGTGGTAGAGGTGATACATAGGCAGTTCTTTTGTAGTTCGTAATATTCTTCTGTACAATGATAGGTCGCTTAGCTTTATCCCGTTCAATCTTCTGATAATCACAGGAACACTCAGGACATGTTGTTTCATTTCTAAGTGCTTTCTCCATTAATAACGGATGACCAAATCGTCGAGCATTATCTAAAGTTGTGTCCCCTTTCAAATTCTGTATGTCCACAACGCCTCCATGTTGAAGGTAACAATTAAAACAGTCAGCCTTACCAGCTTCAGTTGCATAATGACCTGCTGTATTCCCAAAATTATCTTGTGTATTTGGATCTGAACCTTTCTCTAGTAACCAGTGTAAAATATCTACTGAACCATATAAAGCTGCAGTGTGGGCAGGTGTCTTTCCTTCTGTACTTGTTGCTTCTAGTGATGTCCCTTGTTTTATTAGAAATCTTAAAGAATCTAATTTATTATAGTGAGCAGCATAATGAGCAGGTAAATAGCCACCATTATCCCCAATAGTCATATCACAATCTCTTTCAACCATACTCACTAGTGCTTGAAAACTACCATATTGTGCTGCGTAATGCAACGGTGTCTTTCCAGAATTACACTGACTATCCAAATCTACGCTTTCATCTAACAGAAAACGCAGAACTTTTGAATGATTTCTCATGGCTGCCAAATGTGCAGCTTGCCTCCCTTTATTGTCCTTGGCTACTAAATTAGCACCTTTTGCAACCATCAGCTTCAAACACTTTATTTCTCCATGTAAACCAGCTAGATGAGTTGCTGTCATTCCATCACAGTCGGTTCCTTCAATATCAGTCATGTGATCCAGCAATATCTTGACACATTCATCATGGCCACCAACACAAGCATCATGTAAAGGTAAACGGCCCTTTGAACCTTTACTATACGGAGATATACCTTGAACAAGTATCTTTAAAAGCGTTTCAAAATGCCCGTATGTGGCAGAAAATATTAGGTCAACTGCATCCGTGGTTGTTTTTTTTAAAGAACTTTGGCTTTGGTTGTCGGTATTTGCATTTCTAGTTTGGGTTGACTTTCTCAAAGTTTTCGAGGAAGAATCAATTTTTTTTTGTCCTAAGTTGGCCATTTTGTTTACATCTTCTCAGAAATCACTTCTCAGTATCCTAGAGTTATTAAGCTTTGTCCAATGGGGGTGTAGCAAAGCTTGAACACTGCTTATGGCTTTGAGAAGGTTTTTCCAGGAATGGGATGACAATCTCCCCATGTAACCATCTTAGGTTGATATTGCTGTTGACAGATCATGGTGGTTTCTTCTTATTCATACATTATAACACTTGATTCTGCTAATTATAGAACTTTATGTAGATACAGTAAAGAACAATAATAACAGACAATATCCAGAACAAAATAAAGAATAACTACAGTATAAAATCAGAGTTGGCGTATGTAACCCCTAGATACATAAACAAATCAAAAGTAGATTATAGACATAATCTCCATTATATATCCATGACAGGTTTACTTCTAAGCAATGGAAAACTGGCTTATAAATCTTACAACTATACATGGATTAACACACATTATCCCATTAAATCAAATTCTTATAAGACTACTAGGGGGGTTGGATGGCCGAATGGTTAGCATGTGTGCGATGTATCATAAGGTCTGTCATTGAGTCGAATGATGTGGTTTTTATTCCCCGGTTGTACGTGACAATGAGTAGGGTTGCGTGTCCAACCTTGTGGGTTTTCTTCGGGTCCTCCGGTTTCCTCCCACTGCTAAAGACCCCTATATGCAAGTGAATTATTGAAATAAAATTGAACCATTTGTTAGACCCGAAATGACCTAGTTTCTGTCAAGTGGATGTTAAACCAAATTTTTCTCTCTCTATAAGACTACTTTTATAAGAGGACTATGATCTAAGATGTCATATCAATTAACGCACATTATCCCATTAAGTCTCATTCTTATAAGACTACTTATTAAGAGGAATAAGATCTACAGTCATGTAAGTAAG